TTTTTTTTTTTAATACCTTTAATTTTATTTATTTGTTTGTTTTTATGTGGTGCTAAGAATTGGGCCCAGTGCCTCACACATGTTAGGCAAGTGCTCTACCACCGAGCTACAACCCCAGCCTAAAACGTCTTTTAAACTTAAAATTTCAAGTGATTTTGAAGTTAAGTGCAGGGTGGCTATGGTTCTAGAGTCTTAGAATCCAAGAGTTGTACAACAGCTTATTCTTTAAATAAGCTGATAGAATTTTGGTAGAAGATGGAGGTGGAAAAATTTAAATTCATAAGTTTGAAAGGAAGGCACTGATGTTATATGATACTTGTGTTTTTGTGAATTAGTTTTTTTTCCTGTAAGCATAAATTTTTGTTTTGATAGTATTCTTTGTCTATTTTATTTAACTCTTCTATGTAATTTTGTAAGAAGTATGAGTTGTAAGCAAATGCAAATGAATATGCTTGCTTTTGTAGTTGTGACTTGGATCTTTTTATATTTATTGTAGATGTCGTGGTCAACAATGCTGGGTGAGTACTTCTTTTTTTCATTTTTAGTAAAGTGCATGCAGTTGTTTATATAAGTGTATACTTCCCTGCCCTTTCTTACCTTATATAATATCAATATTTTAGAATTCTGAGGGACCGTTCTTTCAGTAGAATAAGTGATGAAGACTGGGGTAAGTTGTTTTAAATATGTTTCTCTAGAATATATCTATCCATTTTGCTTTTTTGATATTTGATAAATTTATATGGAAAAGGAAAACCCTTTCTCATATAAACTACATGGAAAAAGATGAATAGTTGGAAATAACATTTTTAAAAACATTTTATAAATTTTAAATAATATTAAATAATTTGACAGAAGTTATCTGAAGGATTTTTTTTCTGTTTATTTTCTATTTTTCTCCCTAAGAGATGGTTAGTATTTTCTAGCAGCACTAACGCTTTGTCCTTTTACCTAGCTGTGATTCTTTCAAGAGCAGAGCAGGATGTGTAAGAGAGTCTAGGGTACTAAAAATTAAAATGATAGTGATCTTTGAATAGGGTGGGACAAAAAGTTTCGAGTTTAGTTAATGAACCAATCACAGTGATGATTGTTTTTTTCTTTGTTCTTACTTTCATTGGCCATCAGAACTAAAACAAACAGTGGTAGCTGAAAAAGTGGCAGTCTTGGTAACTGAGATGAGATAATTGTATCATTGTTTATAGCACATGCTTCTGTCCCCAGAAATCCTTTTGGGAAAAGCAAAACATGGGCAGTGATAGAGCACTTGCCTAGTATATACAGGCTCTAGGTTGATACCCAGCACCATTAAAAAAAAAAAAAAAATTCTTCTGACTTAGAATTAAGAAAAGAGGAGCTTTTAATTTTTTTCTTTTTTTAAACAGCTGGGATAAGAAAGAAGTTGAAGAAAGATAAGGTTTACTGGCAAAGGGGGCTTATGTTAGTAATTTTCTTAGAGCTATAATGAATGAAGTGTGTTTCCTTCTCCTATTCCGTCCTTCTACAGTCAACACTCTTACTTTCTTCTAATGTACACATGAAAATGTTTGTTGACATCATAAATTGAAACAAAAATAAGTAAGAATGGTTCAAAAACTTGACAATTAAAAGAATACATTAAATCTAATCTCTGCAAACCCGTGGGTCTCTTTCTCTCCTTTCTGTCTCTGTCTCTCAGTCTCTGTCCCCCTTACTCATTATTAAACTTTGGTAAAAAATATGGATATAGTGAGTATTTTGTAATTATTAATGATCTGTGTGCTTTATGATTATTTTTTGATGTTGATGTTAAGTGCTAATTATGTATCTAAAATTCTTGGGTATAATAGCAAATTTTTATGTAAAATAGACATTAATTAAAGATGACATTGCATTTAGATATGTATAGGGATTGAAATAATTTTATAAATTATAGGGAAAGTGGTTGTAAGAGTGGGTGTGAACCATTGATTGGTGTTATAATTGAACCAGAAGCAAAAATGAAGGGTGTGAAAATAGCTGATTATGAATGCTTAGATATAAAATGAGTATCTTTAATTAAATAAACCGTTGATTTTGAGACATGTATCTAATTTTTGACAAATTACATAAAAATAATTTCTTATTTTAGATATAATCCAGAGAGTTCATTTGCGGGGCTCATTTCAAGTCACCCGGGCAGCATGGGATCATATGAAGAAACAGAAATATGGAAGGTAGAATTTTATACATCTATCAAGGAGGTTGAAGATGTTTGTGTGTATGTGTGTGTGTGTGTGTTTGTGTCCAAAGAAAGATTATATAAAATGTTATGAAATATGTGTAGGCTTTTAAAATGTAGTTTTGGCACATTCACATTAAATTGGTGTTTTTTAATAGACATAGATTAGCTGAGCTGGCTGGCTTTGTATTTTTTTCTCACCTCTTACTTTTCATTATTAATAATTTTCCTCTTAATTGGCATTTTAGAAATTAGTATGAACATTGAGGATTCAGTTATACATTATTTTCTAAATAAAATGTCTTTTTGTGTGTCCAGTGACCAACTTAGGGAAAGATGAGTGGCTGTTTCCTGCTGATATTGGTCAGATCTGACTTAGTCTTTGTAAACTGTTTAGGAACTGTAGGACTTTCCTTGTTTGGTCCTATATGTGTAACTAAGAATGTGGTGGTGGCCAGGTGTGGTGGGACATGCCTGTAATCCAAGCGGCTCAGGAGGCTTGAATCCTTGAGTTCAAAGCCAGCCTTACCCATGTTGAAGCACCAAGCAACTCAGTGAGATTCTATCTCTAAATAAAATACAAAATAGGGACTGGGGATGTGGCTCGGTGGTCCAGAGCTCCTGAGTTCAATACCTCATAGCCATTCTACCCCTCCCCCCACCCCACCAAAAAAAGAATGTGGTGGTGGTAGTGCACTTAACTCAGTGTGTGCTATTGCACTCTAGTGTCGGGATCATCCCTATTAGGGTTGCAGCATATCTTCTAAAAACAAATTATTTGTGATGCTTGTTCTTACTGAAGATTTCTAGTTTACCATGATCCTTGGCAGTTTCTGAAAAATAAATGATATGATTTATTTTATTTGGACTAAGTAGAATGAGGTTGAGTCAGATTTTAAGAGGGCATCGTATATTGGGGCATTTGATATTATCCAGAAGGGAAGAGAAGCAATGTGGTAAGGATGGAAGAATTAGAAATGCTTGATGTAATATTTCTTGCTAAAATATTTTTAAAATATTTATTTAGTTTTTTAGTTGTAGTTGGACACAACTATTTTTATGTGGTGCTGAGGATCGAACCCAGGGCATTGCACATGCTAGGTGATTGCTCTACCACTGAGCTACAACCCTAGTCCTCTTGCTAAAATTTTAATTTACATGTTGCTAGTTTATATTTATAAATCTTATTGTTTTCAATAAATAACAAATATCTATTATTATACTTAATTTCATTTGGCTCTGACTGGAGATTCTTCTCAAATAGTTACATCTTATCGTTGAATTTTGAGAGATTACTTTTATATCAGTATTTCTTAAGATACGAATCATGTCTGTGAGAAGCTAATGACCCAAGAGTTGCTTTTGACAGTTGCAGTCGTACCAAAATAAGGTTAGAGTTGTAAATTATCAAAACATAAAAGAGAATGTTGAAAGACTGATTTTCCTTTTAGGATCATTATGACTTCATCAGCTTCAGGAATATATGGCAACTTTGGCCAGGCAAATTATAGTGCTGCAAAGTTGGGTATTCTGGGCCTTGCAAATACTCTTGCAATTGAAGGCAGGAAAAACAACATTCACTGTAACACTATTGCCCCTAACGCTGGATCACGGATGACTCAGACTGTAATGCCTGAAGGTAAGTTGTGGTTTTATTGCTATTACAAATGTGTGTGTGGGGGGGAAAAAAACAGTATTTAATTTTCTCAATACTCAAAAAAATTATTTTCTTTCCAATTTCTTTTTTTTAAATATTTATTTTTTTTAGTTGTACATAATACCTTTATTTTGTTTATGTATTTTTATGTGGTGCTTAATATTGAACCCAGGGCCTTGCACTTGCTAGGCGAGCACTCTATTGCTGAGCCACAACCTCATCCCTTTCTTTCCAATTTCAAAAGCATTTTGTGTAATTGTTGTTCAGTGTTGAAAGTTAAAAAAAAAAAACAAAACAAAAAAACAAACACCACACACACAAAGGAAAAAATAAAAAATGACTTGAATTTTAACCTACTGAAGTAAACTTTTCATCCTTTTTCTCTGCATAGATAAATACAAATGCATTTTTATAGAATGGGATAATAAATTTTTAACCCTTTTTAATGATTATAGAAAAATAATGTACTTTTTTTTTTTCCTTCCCCCAGTACTGGGAATTGAACTCAGGTGACTTTATCGCAGAGCTATATCCCTAGTCCTTTTTATTTTTTGGCACAAGGTCTTGCTAAGTTGCTAAGTCTGGCCTCAGATTTGTGATCTTCTGCCTCAGCCTCCTGAGTTGCTGTGATGATTACAGGTGTGCACCATTGTATCAGGCTAATACTTTATTTTTTATAACAGTTTTTGCTTTATAGAATTTTAGGCAGGTAGTACAGAAAGTTCTCATATATTTCTTCTATTCAGTTTTCCTCTCTGTTTACTATCTTGCATCAGGGTGGTAGGTATATGTGTGTTACAGTCGTTGAACCAGTATTGATTCATTATTATTAACTAAAGTTTATAGTGTGTAATGGGAATACTTTTGTGTTGCATAGCAGTATATTCTGTAATGCTGCATATCTTCCATTATAGAATAGTTTCACTACTCAAAAAGTTCCGTGTGCTTCATTTATTAATTTCTCCCCTTTTCTTTTTAATGCCTGGAGAAGATTCAAACTCATTCCTTTTATAATTCATTAATACTTCATGGTACAGATGTACCCCAATTTGTTTATTCATTCATTTATTGAGAGACATTTTGATTGCTTCTAATTTTTGACAATTATGAAGTAAAGTTGCTATCAACATTTGTGTGCAGATTTTTATGTGAACATGTTTTCTACTCATTTGAATAAATACCAAGAAGTGTGACTGCTAAATGGTTGGTCAGACTGGGTTTAGCTTTGTAAGAAACCAGCCAAACAACTGGTAAAGCAATGAATTAGAGGTCTTGTTCTATGTCTGTGGCAGCATTTTTTTTTTATTGTCAGTTTTTTGGATTTTAGTCTAATAGGTGTGAAATTCTATCATTGTTTGAATTTGAAACTTCTTAGTGACATATGGTGCTTGGTGTTTTCTTCTACATTTTTTTTTTTAAAAATTCATTTATCTTTGGTGAATTATCTATTCAGATAATTTAAATTGAGGTTTTTGTTTGTTTGTTTATTGTTTGAGTTTGACATTTTTTTCTTCAGAGAGGATTTGTCTTTGCTGTTGCTGGTAACCAGGAGGCTTAACCAAGTCTTCCTTGAAAGTTGAGGTTCAGTGTAGAACAGTTTAAGGTCAGAAACTCATCTCGATGCTGGCCTACCTCTAAGTATTTAGGTATCAGAACTGTTGTTTAAATATGTTCTCAGAGCAACCCTGCCTTCCTTGCAGTGTGGAACTAAGGGCTTTTTTTTTTTGCTTGTGATTATTCTTCTGTCTCAGCAAGGTTTAAAATAATACCATTTCTGGTGACAAAATTGTCAAAAGTACTTGCTTCATTATAATGCTATATATCTAATATTGTGGAATAAACACTGCTTGGGTAAAGGAGGCTAAGTTCTAATTTTGATTTCACATAACTTTATATCTTTTTTTTCTTTTTTTTATTGGTTGTTCACAACTTTACAAAGTTCTTGACATATCATATTTTATACATTAGATTGAAGTGGGTTATGAACTCCTAATTTTTACCCCAAATGCAGATTGCAGAATCACGTCGGTTACACATCCACAATTTTACATAATGCCCTATTAGTAACTGTAGCTAATGGGCCTTCTTAGACATTATGTTTATCTTCTTGCTGTTTTCTTTTTCTTTTTTTTTTTTTTTATGAAACTGAGTTTAATAGATGCTGGCTTACCTAGCAGATTGAGAATGAACTGGAAAACAAGAATATTGGCATATAACATTAGTGATAATATGCAAAATCCGGTATAAAGCAGAAGTATTTTTCTATTAGCTTATGTTCATTTTTTACCTAAGAATTGATACTCAGTTGGATTTTTTAAAAATATTTTTTTACTTGTAGATGAATACAATACCTTTTATTTATTTTTATGTGGTGCTGAGGATCAAACTCAGTGCCTCACACATGCACAATGAACATTCTGCCAGTGAGTCACAGTCCCAGCTCTCAATTGGATGTTATAGATATATTAATTTTGCATTCAGTATGAAGTTAGTCACCTCAAATATCTGAATCCCTATGTATAAAGATCCTTTATTATTGAATTTTGCAAATTGTTACATGGGAAATTAGAAGAATGGTAAATATTGAGATGAATGGTATATAGGTTAAGAATTTGTGTTATTGTGTAGTTCAAGAAGTTGGATTGAGTCTTCCTTTGATTTTCTCCATATGTGTATAATGGAAAGTGGAGAACACTATGCTATTGGATTGCATGTGGATTTGAGATCTTTTAGAGACCATGAAGTGAAGATTTTGTAGCTGATCTTTAATTTACAGGACTATAAGTACATCTTTGCTATTTTATTATGTTAATATAAAATTACATCATATCACAGGTTTTTGCATTTATTTGATTTCTTAGATAAGATTTAAGGTCTATAAGATATCATAAGGGCTGAAGTTTTGGCTCAGTTGTAGAGCACTTGCCTAGCATGTGTGAGGCACTGGGTTTGGTTCTCAGCACCATATATAAATAAGTAAAAAATAAAGGTCCATTGAGAACTAGAAATTTTTTTTTTTTTAAAAAAAGATCATAAGATACAGTTTTATCTCATTGGAATCTTAGAACAAATTGGTGGAATAGTCAGGGAAAACATTTTAATTACCAATTTATAGATGAAGACACAGGTACAAGGAAATTGGGTGATCTTCCCAAGTTCTTAAGTTGCTTATCTGTAGGGCCGGCACTAAATTCTAGGTCTTTGTGTTTCTTATGTAGTACTTTTTTTGCTGTACTAAGCTGCTCACAGAGGTTTACAATGAGAAAACAATCCTTATGTTTTGTTACTCATCATGATGGTTCTAGGGTCTTTTTCAATCACTTTCTGCTATTATAATTTTCAAGGATGTTTGAAGTTTTCCAAAATTCTCATTAAATAGTTGGAAGAATGGCGTAGTTTTGGGAATGAATGGTACCTGTGATTCTCATGTTATATGTAATTTTACTCATCAGTCTTTGCTGAGACTGCTCTAACATTTTCTCCAGAATAGTATGTTCCCCATCATGGAAAGGTATGTCTAATGACTGCAGTTTTATCAAGAAACTTGATAATGTTTCAGGTATGTCTCAATGGGGATGAAAAAGTTCTTCTAAAAGTTCTTCTAAAAGGTTTAAAATAATACCATTTCTGGTGACAAAATTGTCAAAAAGTACTTGCTTCATTATAATGCTATATATCTAATATTGTGGAATAAACAATGGGGATGAAAAAGTTCTTCTAAAAACCTTTATTATTTGAGTATACATACATATGTACATATATTTTTTCTTGTTTACATACATATGTATATATTTTTTCTTGTTTATTTAAAGTCTTTGAATCATCAACATAAGAAATTTTACCTACATAAGTAAGAAATTTTCACAAAGCAGAATGACAGATAAAACATACATATTCTTGTTTGTAATTTCTTTCTATTTATTTTAGATCTTTTTGAAGCTTTAAAGCCTGAATATGTGGCACCGCTGATCCTTTGGCTTTGCCATGAGAGTTGTGAGGAAAATGGTGGTTTGTTTGAGGTATTCTGAAACTTGCTGTTTTTTCCTAAAGCAATATTTGTGTAATTAAATATAAAAAAAAGATTTTAAAATTAGTGTTTTTCAAATGCTTACATTTGTACAAATCTGCACTGGTTGATGTAACTTGAATATTTTAAAATATTATGTTTATGTTACTAAGGTACAAGTGTCCTTTTGGAAAACGTAACATCAGCTTTATAAATTATGTTTTTTCATAGTTCTCCATTTCTAATACACTTACCAAATGAAAATATGGCTAGTATGATATGTTTAGCCAAATATATAGAAGATTTTATTGATTTAAGAAGCCATTCAGCTTCTTAAAATGGAAAGATAGAGCTTGAGGTTTAGAGTCACCTGGATCAGATTTTGAATTCTTAATCTGGTAGTCACTGACTTGCTGGAATATTGTATAAATTAACCTTCCTGAGCTTTAGTTTTCTTGAAGTTTATTGTGGCACCTTGTGTTAGTTTTCTGCCACTGTGACAAAATACCTGACAAATCAACGTGAAGGATGGAAGATTAATTTTGGCTCAGGGTTCAATCCATAGTCATTTGGCCCTATTGCTTTGGTCCTTTCACAAGGCAGAACATGATGATGGGGAGCATGTGATGGATAAGAGTTGTTCACTTCATAGCAGCTGGGAAACTGAGAAAAAGGGGCCAGGAGCAAGATACACTCTTCAAGGATGTTCCCACAGTGACCTACTTCCTCCAACTAGGCCCCACTTCCTGAAGTTCCCACCACCTCCCAATAGCACCACCAACTGGGACCGGGTCTTTAACACATGAGCCTTTGGGGGACATTCCAGATCCAAACTATAACACAACTATAGATAATTTTAAACCTTTAACATTGTGTCTAGTATATAACAGCCTTTCCCAGAATTTTATTTATTAATCTGTATCAGGAATTTAGTTTGGCTATGATAGATCAATAAATACAACTTACTATTTTTTTTAAACTTTAAAAGAAAACTTTTCTGTTTTCTCCATCCCCTTTTTAAGCTGATGTATATATTATGATTACTCATTTCAGTTTGATCTTTTTTCTTAGCTTGAAGTTTTATATATTAGAATCTTCTTCCTTCCATTTTTTGATTCTCTATAATAAACCTGTGATATGTACGATACTGTGGAATCCAAAACATTTTTTGGTAGAAAAAGAATCTGGCTCAGTTTGAAGGAAATACTATCTTATTAGCCTGCTTCATTTGAATAAAAAGCTTCTGAGTAAATTAAAGGAGAAAAATAAAATAGCCTTCATATAGCTAACAGAGATATATGCCTCCACCTTTCTAATCACACCCATTGAATGTGAATTGTGAAAATCAGAAGTGGAAGGAAATTTACAAATCTAATTTTACAGAATAGGAAAATTTAATAATATCAAGCCATCTGGAGTTTAAAATTTAGCCTGACCCTCTTTTATCTAAGGAATTTTAAAAATTACTTAACTTTGAAAATTATATTAACTCTGTAAACTAAAATGTATCCTTTCTGAAAAGTTTATATTGGAACATATATACAGGAAAATAAAAACCACCACATTATCACTACGCAGAGAGAACTATATTTTTATGTATTTCCTTCCAGTCTTTTTTAGATGTGTATTTTAAACACACATTCAAAGTCATGTAGACAATTAGGATCATGCTGAGGATAAAATTTTGTTGTTATTTTCATTTACTCTATTGTGAACATTTTTAGTGAGGAACATTTAACATGCCTGATTGATAAAATATGATAAGAGGTGGGTATAATATTCTGACTTAAATTACCACTTTGTTTGCAAAATTCTGATAGATACCTAGAGTGGCAGATAAAGATTTTGGTTCAGTAGGAGCAATTGTTTCTAGCATCTCAGAAGAACTTGTTGCTCACATCACTCCCAAAGTATGATAAAAGGTGATATCTCTTACCTGTTATCAAAACCACTGCTGATTTATGTACTCTTAATTACATCAAGATTCATCAGATATATAAAAGGTGTGGGCATATTAATAAAGGCAAAAGATGATGAAAAGTTACATTCTTATGCCTAGAGCCACCAAGTTGTGTGCTGTCTCCTTATACATTTTTTTCCTACCACATGTAGAATTTGAATATGAAGTTTTACCACAGTGTAGTTGTGTTTGAAAACATGCTGGATTTTCTTATATCAGACATTTTTTCCCTTTAGGATTTTCCTGAATCTCTAAAAACATAGATATATAAAATTTATCTTTCTATGTGGCAGTTGGTATTTGGTGATTTGCCTTATTTCTAAATAAAGATGTTTTACTAACATGAATATGTATAATTCATTAAGTAAAATACTCTATGGGCTTTGAATTTATTTTATTTATTTATTTTTAGTTCACTGGTTCTTTCTAGAAGGACATTTATTTTGAGACTATAATGTGTACAATTTACATTGTATAAATTTCACAGTAACCACGTAAACTATGTGTTGTTATCCTTATTTTACAGATGGTGAAATTTGTGTTTCAGGAGGCCAAATGATTTGACCAGGGTTACATAGCTAGTCAGTGGAAAATATGTTATCAAGCCTCGGCCTCTTACTTCGTAGTCTTTTTTTTTCCTACTATATTGTGTTACTTTAGGTTTCTATTGTGATAATAGGAACAGTGTAAATTCATGGGACCAGTAGACTTTTGTAGAGCCATATTATTTTCATTCATTGTCATCTAGCATTCTATTATACCTAGTAAGATTGCTGCCTTTATTTTAAATTAAAAAATTCTACTAGTGATTATACATTATATAATATAATATAATGTTTCTCCCTCTTTTTTGCTAGGTTGGAGCAGGATGGATTGGAAAATGTAAGTCTCTCAGTTTTGGTTTGCCATTGGTTATTTCCATATCTTTAAATCTGCATTTCCATTACAACCAGGTAATAAGCATATTGTCAAGTGCCTAATCACTAGATTTAGTGCACACATATTCAGACTTGAATATTGTTATACAGCAGATCTTCTAAAACATGGCAATTGTCCTGCAGGCCTCTGTACTTCGAAAGTCTGTTCATTCTGTAGGCAACCCTTATTCAGGACTTTTTCCTGTCTTATTCCTTCATTTAGCAAAGTCTCTCTTTATATTTGTATTTATCCTCCAATATCTCTGGCATCCCACATGCTTATTTTTGCTGTTTCAGCAGAGAAGTGAGTGGGAGGGAGAGGCAATTTTGAAAACATGGGAGGAGCCTATTCTAGATGGCATAGCTAGCAAGTTCTCCAATTCTTTCATGTAATTATTTCCTTCCTCTAGCATAAAATATTGGGAGAGTGAGAAATCACATTGGACAACTTTGCAACATTGGTCAATAAATTGCAACTGATATGGGAATTGTTTTCCTTCTCTTCAATAGTAAATTCATTTAGTATCATCAGTGCTCTTCTGTCCCATCTCTTAAACCTAACTATAGTTGCTTTATAGAATTAAAAAATTGTGAAAATTCTAATACCTTGTTTTCAGTTGGCTGTTGGTATCAAAATTAATCACATGATTAATTGAGTTACTTAAAAGGTTGCTGTCACTGGAGGGCATTGGTACAGTGTATTGTAAATTATTAATATTTTTAGCATTAATGACTGCTCTGTCCAGTTGTTAAAGTTCCTTAAGCATTTGGGTGTCTTTTGAAAAAAACACCCACTTATGATAGGAAGATGAGTGCTTCAGTAAAAGTTCTATCTGGCACTTCATCAATAGGAAAAATTCAAAAGCAGGCATCTCTAGATTTCCCAGTACTTATTAAATTATTAAGTCTTAAATTTAATAATTATCAAGTGCCCCCTTGTAATCCCAGGTACCCAAGAGCTGAGTCGAGAGAATTTCAAGTTCAGGCCAGCCTGGGAAGCCTAGCAAAACCCTGTCTCAAAATAAAATTGAAAAGGACTGACGATATAACACAGTGATAGAGCTCTTGCCTAGTGTGCATAAGGCTCTGGATTCAATTCGGGTGGTGGAGGGAGACAGTCATCAAAAACAGTCTGATCATTATGCTTAAATAAGGTAGCCAGTGTATTTATTCTTCTGGATTTTTAAAAGGAAACAATGTTAAAAATTCTCCTAATGGAATTGATGCAGAACTTATGTTTTCTGTAAATCTGTGCAGTTTAGTTGACTTCTTGTTGAAATGGAAGGAGGGCAAAAGAAGGGTAAAGAGAATTATATGTGGCTATCTGATATACTGATTTTTTGTTAACTAAAATCTTTGGCATGTTACCACCACTAGTCTTCTATTTACTATCCAACACATTCTGTTCTGTTAATCTTCATTTTATATACAAGAAGAGTTATGTATCTTTACTTGAGTCATCTCTGGTTATGAGGTAAGTCTTTTGGTGCAATTATTTTGTAATTTAGCTTTCAGATTCATCATGAGATTTTACCTTTAGTAGTGCCTGGCACAGTCAAAGGAGAAAGTTTTTATTCAAAACAATTTTTTTTTAGTTGACATTTTCCTGATGGGTGTTTTAGGAAAAAGGCATTTTAATGCTCATAGTAAAATTCTACAAAGTGGAACACTTTTTTTTCTGAATTTCCTTTTTCTTGAAGTTAAAAATTTAAGGGGCTTTTACACATTTTACTTTCTGTTTTCCTCCTAAATTATGTGCTCAGTATCTTGTTTTTCTTTTCTTTTTTTCCTATAATTAGTACGCTGGGAGCGGACCCTTGGAGCCATTGCAAGACAGAAGAATCAGCCAATGACTCCTGAGGCAGTGAAGGCTAACTGGGAGAAGATCTGTGACTTTGATAATGCCAGCAAGCCTCAGAATATCCAAGGTAAAGAGAATCCCAAGCCATTTAACCTTGGTTGGGGAACCACAGGCAACAAATATTCTCTCTTATTATATGGAAGGACCTTCTAAACTGTGATGACTTAAACACTTCTATCATGTGTAGTATATTTTCTGCTATAGTTGGTATTAGAACTCTTCGTATTTAAGATATTTATGTCCCACTGTCATTTTTTTATAGTCTTGTTTTTTGGCTTATTAGTGGCAGGGGGATGGATGGCACAAGGCATTTACTTATTTGTGTTAAATGCACCAACTTTTTAGCTGATAGTTCATTTAAAAAAATCTTCCTTTATCTAGATACATGCTCCTAGTTTGACCGAATTTTTCTCTATTTCCTCCAAAGTTTATTTAAGCTTAGTTTACTTGGGCTTAGCTCTTTTTCATTTAGAGAATAAAAGAGGCTTTGCTTTAGTGCTTTGTTTTTGCCATTGTTTCTTTCCTTTTCTATCATATTTTGTCTTCCTTTTATCACCTCTACATAATTTTAGTGCTTTCTTAGAAATACTCAAGCCTAGATACTTAGCAGAACCTTTCCAGATAATCTAGGCTAAGTTGATCTTTCTGTTAGTTGAACTCCTACCCACTTGAACTTCTAATTAACATTTAATTGTAACTGTTGTCCATTGCTTTTTTTCCATGAATATATAGTTTCTTAACTGCATGGCAAATTCTTTGAGGCAGAGATTGTATCTTATATGTAATTCTGTTTGTCTCTCTCTTTTTTGTTTTGTAGTTCTAGGTTTTTGGGGATGCTAGACAGTGTTCTACCACTAAGCTGCACCCCAGTCCTATATATAATTCTTTTGTACTTGGTGTTATCATAGTGCTGAACTCAGAAGGGATTTAATAAATGCTTATTCACCTGAATTATTTAATCACCTACAATATACCCACAGGAAGAGAGACCAAAGAAAATTCACATTTTTTCCTAGTAAAAGTTGCATGTGCGTATGACATGTGAAATTTAAAAGAGTTTTCTGAGTAAGATTATGAGTCAGGATCATTTTATAGAAAAACATTTTTCTTTTTTCCTCAATAATTTTATATTCTGAGTTGATAGAAGAATATATCTGAAAAAATGACTGCTCAGGTTTTTACTATTTTTTTTTTTTTTTTGTACTGGGGGTTGAATCCAGGCTTACGTTACCATGGAGCTACATCCACAGTTATTTTTATTTTTTGAGACAGGGTCTCACTAAGTGGCTTACTAGTGAGGATCTCACTAAGTTGCTGAGGCTTGCATCAAACTTGAGATCCTCCTGCCTCAGCCTTCTGAGTTGCTGGGATTCCAGATGCACCACCATGTCTAGCTTAACTACTGAGCCACATCCCCAGCCCTATTTTGTATTTTATTTAGAAACAGTTGCTTAATGCCTTGCTTCTTTGCTGAGGCTGGCTTTGAACTAGCTATTTTCCTGCCTCAGCCTCTTAAGCTTCTGGGATTGTAGGCATGTACCACTGTACCCAGCTTGGTTTTTGCTTCTTATTGATACTTTCCTTCCTACATGTACATTCTTCAAATCTTCATTATGCCTTTTCTCAGCCAGACGATAACATGATTGATATGTCATAAATGGTAGCAATTTTATATTTTTGATATTTGAGATTAATTTTGTTCTGTGAATGTTGCTTATCAATGAAAATAAACAAAAGAAAAAGGAAAAGTTAAAAACATTTCTCTGCCTTTTTTGCTTCAAAAGTATTAGACCATTATAAAAAAAAGATGTAAGTGAAAAAAAAGTATAATGAAAAGTCATCTTTTCTGATAAGAGTTGACTTACCAGAATACCTATTTTAGTACTTTCAGTTTAGAGATGATTAAACTAAGTCCCAGCAAAACTGACCATTGTTTGAGCTAAGAGTTAATTCAGGTTGTCTATCTCTGAGTGAAGTACTTTTAGCCTGTACCATGGTGCTTTTCAATTAAATAGCCTTCCCTCAAGACAACAGGCTGAAATGGGGATGTAGGGAGAGGATTAGGCAAGAAACTTCTTTAGTAGCATGACCTAGAGTAGCAGGTAATGTTGGTCATCTCAGACTTTGTGTTTTGTTTTTCATTTTTGTCAGAGTTTAGTAGGAAGCCTATGTCCTAGAGCCTTCAGAATATCTTTAATACATATATCCACATACATGAACTTCTTTACAACCTTTTAGACCCCAGAACAGCAACTTCCACTTTCTGTTTAGAATCACTGTTCATAATGGTGGTTTTCTCTGTCTCTGGAGGTATTTTATTATTATTATTTTTATTTTTTGGTGATTTGAACTCAGGGGTAATTTACCACCAGGCCCTCCCACCTCTGCTTTTTCATTTTTTAAGATTTTGAGACAGAGTCTTGCTAAGTTGCTGAGGATAGCTTTGAACTTGAGATCCTCTGCCTCAACCTTCCAACTCACTGGGATTATAGGTGTGTACCACTGTGCCTGGCAAGAATTTTTAAAACTATCTTTGGACCTGGGGTGAAGGTATTAGTATTCTTCCATCCCAGAGGAAGGGTTGATGGTAGAGCGAGAAGGGAAATCAGTTGTCTTTCCACTAGATAGAGATTACATATCTGCTAACATGTATCCTACTTTATGGGTTTAATTATACATTGTACTTATTGCAGGGTGAAGAGGGTATAATCAGTTATCTAGAACAAGCACCTTCCTCCTACACTCCTCATTCTTCTTTTTTTAAAAAAATATTTTTAGTTGAACACAATACTTTTATTTTATTTGTTTATTTTTATGTGGTTCTGAGGATGGAACTCAGGGCCTCACACATGCGATGCAAGCACTTTGCCACTGAGCCACAGCCTCAGCCTCTCCTCATTCTTCTTTACCATAAAATAGCTGAAAAGCTCTGAGTCCATGAAGAGTACATTAGGCTATGCTTTTGGTCTATTTCAAAGTTTTTCACAGTTTTTTCCTACAAAAGTCTAACATCATATATTCAGTTCATGAATAATGAGGAGGTTCTATAGTTGGCAACTGTTATCTAGCTTACTGTTGCATTTTTAGTTACATTTTTAAACCAAGCTTCATTTTCTTTATTTTTCTTAATTTTAGAATCAGTTGCAGGTATGATTGAAGTTTTACATAAAATAGATGCAGAAGGAGGAGTTTCAATAAATCATACCAGTCATGCAACATCTACAGCTACTTCAGGATTTGTAAGTGGGGAATGTTGTCTCCTCTGAAACTTGTCCTTCCTTCCTCCTCCTCTTTTTTTTTCCTCCCTCCACTGCCCCTTTTATTTTTTTCAGATGCAGTTATTCTCTTTAAGTCTCTAAAGTTATGCCTAATAATGAAGAGAAACATGGCATAGATACTTTAAAATAGAGAATAGTGATAACACTAGGAATCTAATTTTTAAGTCTGAGAGTGTTCTCAGTGTGTTATTGGGATTTTTACTTTAAAATAGAGGGTCAGCAAAATTTTGGGGGACAGAGCAAATATTTTAGGTGTTAGAGCAAATATTTTAAGTGTTAGAGGCCACATACTGTTTTTAACACATAGTATTCTGGTTTTTCTTTTTCTTTCCTTTTGGCACTGGAATTGAAATCAGGGCCTAAGCACAAACATGCATTCTACCTCTGAGCTATACCACAAGTTCTATTTATTTATATGAGTTTTTTAAAAAATATATTTATTGTTTAATTGGACACAATATTTTTATTTTATTTATTTATTCATTTTTATGTGGTGCTGAGGATCGAGCCCAGGGTCTCACATGTGCTAGGCGAGCACTCCACCACTGAGCCACAATCCCAGCCCTATATATATATTTTCTAACCACCTTTTGAAAATGTAAAAACCCTTGTAAACTTCTAGTCCTTGTTTGTTGACTCCTGCTGTAGGATAAAAGTGACTGGAAAATTGGACATCATTTTTTTATAATATGTGCTTCACATAGTAGTTAGGCATATCATCTGTAAATTGAAAAATCTATCATCCAGTTAGGCAAAAGACATTCCTGGAAAGAAATTTTAGGTTAAATCTCAGTGTAACTGAAAATGTTATTAAGCAATTTAATTTATAATCATTATGCTATGATTTGCTCATTTGTTTATAGTGAATTCTTTAAAAGAAATATTTAGTTGTAGATGGACACAATATCTTGATTTATCATTTTTATGTGGTGTTGAGGATTGAACCCAGTGCCTCACCCATGCAAGGCAGACGCTCTACCATTGAGCTCCAGTCCCAGCCCCTACAATGAATTTTATACAGTTGATTTTGTAAAACAGTTCACTATCCCGTAATTATAACAGATTTCATTCTTTTTTGGATTTTGGTAGCCAGTATTTGCTGAATTAATAAAGTTTCCACTGTCAGAGACAGGAAAATTCAAAATGAGACATAATATGTGTTAGTAAGAAGCAAGCAATAAAAAAGTACTTATCTGTAAATGAAGTCTTTTTCTAGGCTTTACTTGGTTTTTATGTAAAATATCAAATGTAATGAAATGAATAATGAATAAATATAATGAAATAATTATGTTCCATCAAATTCATTGACATTTGATTAACATCTGTTTAAAGGCAAAGCTAGGTATATAAACAGTTAATAGTTTTAAAATAAAATAGTTTTAAAAGTTAAAATTTTAAAAATTTGACAAAAATATCAATGAAAAAATAATTTTTTCAACTTTTCTATAGGCTGGAGCTATTGGCTATAAACTCCCTTCATTTTCTTCTGCTTACACGGAAATGGAAACAATTATGTATGCTCTTGGAGTGGGAGCATCTGTCAAAGATCCAAAGGATTTGAAATTTGTTTATGAAGGAAGTTCTGATTTCTCCTGTTTGCCTACCTTTGGAGTTATCATAGCTCAGAAATCTATGATGGGTGGAGGATTAGCAGAGATTCCTGGGCTTTCAATCAACTTTGCACAGGTATGCCTAATAAGAAATTTTGTTTGACTTTTCTTCTGTTTCCTTAGATGTTATCAGTAAATGTCACATCCAGTATGCATACGTATATCTGTATTGTATATATTATATGTACGTGTATGTGTGTGTGTGTATATATACATAAAACTATAAAATAATTTATAACAATGTTTAGTTCAGGAATAAAGATTTAGCATATTTTTTGACTTTTGTGTTTAAGAATAAAAAAGCTGGGCATCATGGTGCATGTCTTATGTAATCCCATCTTCTCAAGAGGCCAAGGCAGGAGGATCATAGTTCATAGCCAGCCTCAACAACTCAGCAAGGCTCTAAGCAACTTAGTGAGATGCTGTTTGTAAATAAAATATAAAGAGGGCTGGGGATGTGGCTCAGTGGTTAAGCCCCCTGGGTTCAATACCTGGTAGCAAAACAAGAAGAATAAAAGAGAGGGAGAATTAGTTTGCTATTTGACCAAGGGTAAATAACTTCTCTAGACTTCAGTTCCTTATCTATAAAATATATGTGACAGTTCTTATCTCATGATATTAGGTCAAGAAGCAAGCCAAATAGTTATCTGGTAAAAGAGTATTGGGGGAGAACAGGTGGAAAAAAGGTCCTGAGGTTGGTGCATATTTGGCTTATATTTGGAATAGCAGAGGGGCCAGTATAGCTGTAAAGTGTATTAGGGGTCACTCTATTCAGGGGCGGCAGAAGAATAAGGCCTTGTTGTCATTGTAAGGATTTCAGCTTATATTCTGTTTAACATGGGAGGCCAAGGGCAACCCTTTTAAGGATTGCCATGATCCACCTATATTCACTCACAGGTTCAATGCTATTGTGTGGAGAAGAGATTATATGGGAACCAAGCATAGAAGCTAAGAAACCACTAGAAGCCTATTGTAGTAATCCAAGCAAAAATTCTAGATAGGCAGGGAAAAAAAGAGGAGTCTAGGAGGAAGGTATTTGTTCTAGATAATTGATTTATACCCTCTTCACCCTACAATAAGTACAATGTATAATTAAATATGCAATATATTTAACATATATAGTAGTTGCATGTGACATTACTGTGTATAATTATACTCACATGTACACATTTATTTTAAGGTGGAGGTAGTCAGGAATGGTTTTGGATAAGTTACACATTCAACTGAAGATGTAGAAAGGACAGTTGAGAGTAAATCTAAAGTTTGGAGGAAAGGTCTAAATAGGATCTTTGGCATATAGGTAATATGTTAAAACTTGAGAATAGGTAAAATCATCTAATGTGTGAGTTTAAATAGAGAAGAGATCTGAGTTTAGGGCCCTGCAGTGTTCATAGGTAGAAGTGATACAGAGAACTAAAAGAATGAATAAAATGAACACTTATGAGAAAGTTTTGAAATAGGATATATTTTAATATTGGAGTAAAGTTAAGGTTGAGCCCAGCAGTAGTTCTTGAGTCAGAGCTCTGAAAAGATTTCTGTAACTTTGGTTGAAGATTATCCCATTGCTCATGGGTATCTCCTCTGAATACACGGGAAACATATTAGAGTATTTGATGAAATTGGGAGGAGGGCCAGAAATATATGCTGGGCAGTTTGCTGTTTTAGTTATCATCCATGGTGCAGCACACTGTTCTTCTGTTTGGATAATACAAGTGCAAAAAATTAAAACAAATATTTCAAAATTCTCCCCTCAGAATTGGAAATCATAAATGGTGATCATATTCTGTGACTAGGAATGATAGCCACCTTGCAATTTGAATCCCAGTCTTCCCAATCTTGAGTTATCAGACTATGTGACAGAGTCAGGCAGGTAGTCCTTCATTTATTTTCCCATCTTTTTTTTTTCCTTCTGAATTTTGGGGACTGGGAGACTGTCCCACTGCAGTGGAGTGCACTGATTTGGGTATAAGGATCAAGTTTTGCTTTTCCTACATAAGATGGTTTATTTTGCTTTGTTGCTATTAATTTATACAGTGCCCTTAGTATCTATTCTTCATAGATAATTTATAAAATAATGGTAAAAAGGGAATGTTGACATTAACAGTGCTTGCCTTTCAATATGTCTTTCTTTTTGTGTTTTAGTTGAGTCATTTCTGGTTGGTATGTGTGACCTGAAATTACTTTACTAGCAGTGGCCCTTTTGTTCACTTTTGCTCAACAAATACTTATTGGATACCTAATATGTTCCAGGCATTGTTATAAGCACTGGGAATAAAGCATAGTTTGGTGTCTCATTTTTGGCAAATAATCTATAATTATCAGTCAACAAGGATTTGTGCATGCCAAGAAAGAGCATAAATGTATGTTCTTTGCTCCAAAAGTGATGGATGTCTTCAGATTGGTGACTGATTATTTCTGAGTCACATGATTAAGAAGTAGTTCTTAAAAGCCAAACTGAGAGAGATATGATGGGAGCATGTGGACAATAAAATGTCACTTGTGATAAGCAATATCCAGAGCAGAAGCTATGGGACAAAGCAGTTGGCTAATAAAAATTTTGCTCATCTTAACATAGGTTCTTCATGGGGAGCAATACTTGGAGTTATATAAACCTCTTCCTAGATCAGGTGAGTACCTTATACACGAATTCCATAATTTTCTAATTAACATTCCAAACTGTGCCAATGTCTTAAAGAGGAGTGATCCAGGGAAACATAATTAGAAATTACTATGTACTTATAAACCACTGGAGTAGGTTGATGTTAACTAGTATCTATTTTGTTTACTTTAAACTTTGTTCATTGATATGGCTGTTATCAATGTAATATGCCTATTTTAAGTCCTCTGGGTATAAACCAAGAAGTGGGATAGCTGGATCAAATGATATTACATAGCTTCACATTACTTTCTAGTAAGTGTGAAAACTGAAAATTCAAGATACTTGTGGTTTGGAACCTTTTTAAACTATAGAAAACCAAGAGCATAGCTACTATGTGATTGTCTATTCATACAACATACCAATTGATGAAGCATGGGGTCATAGGCATCAGATGTTTAATGTTATCATCTCTTACTTGCTAATTTGTTAACTGCAGTGGTACTATCATTAGCTGACTTATCCCTCATCTTAGTAAAAACATAACCATTAGATAGAGCAGAAGAAACCTGACAAAAACACTATTTTCCTTCACGAATCAGAACATGTTCTATCCAGCATATAGTGGTCTCTAGAGTCTCTGAGTTCAAGAGTTTTATCTTTATTATGTTTTTATATGATGTCTTTATTAGACATTTCTTTCTCAGTATGACTTCTATTATTAGTGCAAAACAATACATTATTTCGTGCAGAAGGTAAGACTGATAATGTTACCAGCCTTGATTCTCTAACAGAATATATAACCATCAAATCTCAGTATACATAAAATTACTTTTGAACAGTTAAGCATTATATAAATATAATTATTATGACAGATTTCCAAAACAGAATTTCAGGTAGTTGTGGTTTAATTGTTAGTATACATTGAACCTTTTACTCCTAAATATTCTTTAACTAGATTTTTACCAATTTATAAAATGATATGTACTCAAAATAGAAAATTTGGAAACTAAAGAAAGGTAGATTAAGGAATCAGTTGTCTGGAATTATTCACTTTTAATATTTATTAGGTATTCATTATGTACCAGGCATTTTGTTAAGTGTTAGTAATGTAACTATGGAAAAAAATGTCATCCTTGCTTTTGCAGAGCTTAGAGTCTGTCTAGTAGACAATAGGCATTGGTAAACATTGTAAAATACCTTATAAATGGTAGGAGTGCACAAGGGAAAGTCTTTAACCTGCAACTTAACTTGGGGTTGGGGAAATCTTGGTGGAAATGAACTCTGAGCTGAGATCTGAAGGTTGAATTAGGATTTAACATTGTAAAGAGGAGACTGGAAAATAATTTAAGGCCAAGGGAGAAATACTATGTGTAGTGGTTTGGAAGTAAGAAAAAGCATTGGTAGTTTAAGGAAACTGAAAATAGTTCAAAAAAGTTGGGGAGAGTAGCAAGATTATGAGAGTAGAGAGCTAAGAAGGATCTTGGAAGGTCCCAAAAGTCAGATTAAGAAGTTTGAATTTCGTTATAAAGGCAATAAGTTGCTACTGAAGGACTTTAAACCAGAGAGTATATGAACAGATTTGGATTTTGGGAAGCATTACTCTGGCTTGTCTTTGTAATACTTCACATTCCTTTAATCATCTATCACATCCAGATAGTTACCAAATTATTTGAGTCTCTATCTTAAATACATCTAGAATTCTTCTGTTTCTGTCTACGTCTGCTCCCAATTTTTCAACTTTGTTCTCTCACCTTCTGATTTCTCTTTACCTCTGCTGTTTTTTCCCATAGGCCCATCCACCTCACTGAAGCCAAAATTATATTTCTAAAATGCAAATGTGTTTGCGGCTTCCTTATTTGAAACCCCAAATGATTATCCCTAGACATCAGGATGAAGTTAGAAATTTTTAATATGACCTGGCTTCTACTAATTTATGAATACTCGAATCTTGTCATATGCTTATTTTCTGTGAGTCAAGGATGATGCTCAAGTTTGTGGTTTGGCAGTTGGATGGTTCATTCCATTTCTTCATAAAGAACAAAAGAGAAAAGCAGGTTTTAAGAAGAAAAACCTGAGGATTTCACTCTTAAATAATGATTATCAGAACATAACCAGTTAAATGAGAGAATAGGGAGTCTTAGAGTAATTAGAAGGAAATAAAAGGTGTGATGACGCTACATCGAGTACAACCGTAGAAATGTAAAGTTGTGCTGCAGTATACAATGAATCAAAATGCATTCTGCTGTCATATGTACCTAATTAAAATAAATAAATAAATAAATTAAAAAACTAATGGAGATTTGAGAAGGAATGGGATAAATGGTATTGGTGCTCAACAAATGTGGATGACAGAAGAGACCAGGAAGAGTCGTTGACATTGGAAATGGTTACTTTTTAAATATCTAATTTATTAGAAGTGTTAATGTTTCAAATTTAGAGATTCAGGCATTATGAATTATTAATGTCAAATTTTATTTCTAATGAGTTCAGGAATATTACTTCAAATCATAATTTTTGAGTTTTGTTGAAATTACAGTAGAAACTATATTAAGTTATTTCATGTTTTAATGTAATAATTTATGGTCTTTAGAATAGTCTACTTATTTATTTTACTTTTCATTTTAGGAAAATTAAAATGTGAAGCAGTTGTTGCTGATGTCCTAGATAAAGGATCTGGCGCAGTAATTCTTATGGATGGTAACTCACTTATAGTTCTCATAATAATATTGTTAACTTGATAACCTTTATATGTAATATAATGCCTACTACAGAAATAGATTAATAAGTTTGTGTTTATTTTACAGTTTGTAAGAAAGCAAGATTAGCTCTTTAAGAAAAGAGAAACAGGGTAGGGGAAGGAAGTATAATGGGACTAGAGCCAGGGAAGGTGGGGCTTTTTAAAAACAACATAATCAAAGCCTATGAAAAATATGGCTTGAATATAAATCATAGAGGAGAATTATGCTTGCTGGAGTATGTTTTTGGCAGAATAAATATTAGCTCTCAATTAATAGGCTGCATTATAGATAGTTTTCTTGTGTAAGCTATTTGGAACTTGTAATATATTTGGTCATAGTATCATTCTTCTAAATGATAGACAGATTTCTATGCTTGTGCATTTAAGCTTATAGAACTTGTAATATTTAAACATCATAGCCACATTTTATCTTCAGTGAGAAAAAAGAATATAGTAGTTCAATAAATGTTGAAATAGTAGTAGTTCAACATGCTAAAGACACATTGCCTGAAATTTATTTTAAAGTTCAAGTAGAAGAGAAATATTTATTGTCAAAGACTAAAGAACAGGGGAACATTTGATATTGCTTGATATTTTGAATATAGGCCTTCTTGTTTTGTCATATATTGGAGGTTATGCAGATGCTCCTTTATTTATCATGGGATTACATGACAAATCCATTATTAAGTTATTCCCACTTAGTTTCTCTTTTACATTCTATGCTGCTTTTGAGTGCTTTGGCAGAAAGTTTGAAAGTCTGAACATGTTTACTTGCATTTTCTAGTGGAATTGTTTGAAACTTTTGTGATAGAAAAAAATTAAAATATGAATGGTAGTTGGGGAGGTTTAGGAAGTGAAAAAAACTGCTATTTCATAGTTGAGAAAAGATTTGAGAAACTTTTCTTTTAGAGACTGGTTTTAAATGCATTTAGATGAGAGCTTTGAAGTCCAAGCTAGATCATTGTAACTTTTGGAACCCTTTCATAATTGGATTTTATTTTTGGAATTTAATGGAATTGTGAACATCTTGGTTAATAAGTTATGTTTTTTTGGTGACTTTTTTTTCCTTTTATTTACAGTCTATTCTTATTCTGGGAAGGAACTTATATGCTATAATCAGTTCTCTCTCTTTCTGGTTGGCTCTGGAGGCTTTGGAGGAAAACGGACATCAGAAAAACTCAAGGTAAGGATGGCTTTGTTTTATTGACACATATTTTTATATCTTTAAGGGTACATAATAGTAACTCAACGCATATAGATATTATATAATCATCAAACCAGGATAATAAGTGTTTGCATCTCTTCAAACATTCATTATTTTTATATGTTTGAAATTTCATACTCTTCTAGTTATTTTAAAATATATCAGATTATTTTAAGCCTACAGTTACTCTACTGTGCTAAAGAAGAACCAGAACTAATTCCTGCACTGTTTTGTTGACCTTGAATAAACTTCTTCCCATTCTCCCTCCCTATACTGCCTTTCCACTTTTTTTTTTTTAAATTCTTTGTAGTTATAGATGGACAGCATGCCCTTATTTTGTCTATTTTTATGTGGTGCTAGGGATCCAACCTAGTGCCTCACACGTGCTAGGCAAGTGCCGTGCCACTGAGCCACAACTGCAGCCCATGCCTTTCCCATTCTTTAAGTAACCACAATTTCATTGTGTTCTTCTATATGATTGACTTGTTAGTTTCCAGACAGGGGTAAGAACATGTGTTATTTGTCTTTCTGTGTTTGGCTTATTTTCCTTTATCCATTTGGCTGCAAATGATGGGATTTCATTCTTATTGGCTCAATAATATTAGATTTTTTAATCTTTCCCATATTTTCTTTATCCATTCAACCACTGAAGGGCACTGTAGTTGATCACATTTTTAGCTTTCTTTTTGGTATGTTTTCATCTCCTTTGGCTATATACCCAGTAGTAGAATTGCTAGATCATATTGTAGTTCTATTTTTAGTTTGTTTTTTTGGTACTGAGAATTTAACCCAGGGCTGCTTTACCACTGATCTACATCTAGCCCAGCTAGAAGGTAACTAGAGAGAATAGATGGCTGATAAGAGACCTTCTCCAGTCATAACAGATCTCAAAAACTACCTCAGCTGAGGCCTGAATTTAATTGGATTAGATTGTGGAACAATTTGTGTCCCAAGATATTTCTGAAAATAGAAGAATCCATTGACGATTATTGGTGCCTAATAGCAGGAGATGATACAAAAAGAGGCAGAGAGTTTCATAGAGATCAGGGAGAGACAGTTGAAGAAAGCCCTGCTAAAATCATTGTCATTCCAGGGTGACAGTGTGTACACTCAGGCCTGCACACTGTGGAGGAAATAGATGTACCAAAGTGGTCTAATTTCTACATAAATAAAGAATTAAACACTAACAAGCCATAGAAAGGGGAGGGGATTAGTGTCCAGTTGTTATACTATACAGTTACCAGCCAAAGATTATAAGACATGAAAGAAATAGGAGAATGTTTCCCATAGGAAGGAGAAAGGAAAACAGATGATGACAATAAAACAAAACAAACAAACAAACAAACCAGACAATAGAAACAGCTTTTCCAAAGGACTTAAGACAGACTTTAAAGCAGCTATCATGAATATGTTCAAATGATTAAAAGAAACCATGCTTAAGTGATGATATTACTCCTCAAATAGAGAATATCAATTAATAGACACAAATTATAAAAAGGAACCAAATAGAAATTCTGGAGCTAGAAGCATAACTGAAATGAAAAATTTACTGTTGTAGACCCAAGTGTAGATTTGAACTAACAAAAGAATCAAAAAGCCTGAAGGAGACAGTTTGATTAGTGATTATAGAATCTGAAGAACAGAGAGAAAAAAAAAGGCTCAAAAATGTGGGACACCATTAAGTACACTAATAGTCATAGAATGGGTGTACCAGAAAAAGAGAAAGCAGCCATAAGAGGTAATGACTGGTTAAAGCACTAGTCTGCCTATCTAGGAAACTCAACCAACTCCAAATGGATTATAAATCCAAAGAGATCCACTTTCTGTGTATCAGGAAAAAAAAACATTTAAAGCCAGAAAGAGAATGCTTTGAAAATAATGAGAGAAAAATGACTCATCTCTTTAAAAAGCACCCCAATAAAATTAGCAACTGACTTTTCTTGAGAAACAGTGGAGGCTAAAGGACCACGTGGAAGATATATCCAGAGTGCTTAAAAGGCAAAAAACAGTCCCCCCATGAACAAAACAAAACACTGGTACCAAAGAAACTTATAACTAGCAAAACTATATTTCTAAAATGAAAGCAAAATAAAAAATTTCCTAGATAACAAGAGCAGAGAATGTATTGCTAGCGGATCTTCTTTATAAGAAGGACTAAAGAATGTTCTTTAGATTGATAGCAAATGATATATTATACAATTCCATTTATATGAAATGTTTAGCATAGGCAATCTTTAGAGACAAAGATAGCTAAGGACAGAAAGGGCTAAGGATGTAGGGTAATAGATAGGGAGATGAAAATGTGGTCAAGTTGATTCTGGTGATGGTTGCACAACTGTGAATCGCACATTTCAAATGGGTGAGTTGAATGTGAATTGTACCAACACATATATTTTTTTCCTTTGGTACTGGGGATTGAACTCTGGGATGCTGAACCACTGACCCACATTCCCAGGGTCTCACTGAATTGCTTAGGTCCTGACTAAGTTGCTGAGTTTGGTTTTGAACTCACGATCCTTTTGCCTCAGCCTCCCCAGCTGCTGGGATCACAAGCATGTGCCAGTACACCCAGCTCAACATGTGTATTTTAAAAGTAATATCGATCAATACTAAGACAAGGGAAGCCATGACTTAGGCCTGCATTTTAAAATGTTGTGACCATTTCTTGCTTGTATGTGTAAAATTACCTGGACAGCTATCAGATGATGATTATGTGGGGTTATACTTACCTATAGATAGTGACTTACAAGTTGTTAAAAACCCTAATATAGGTTGGGCATGGTACCAGCATATAATGAAAAACTTAGAAGTATAATTTCATGCTTCCATTTAAATTTCAAGCTTTTAGTGAAGAGATTATGTTATAAAGGGTAAAGTATAAATCTGAGCTTATATTTGATTAAGTAAACACAACATACTATTTGTTTCTCTTTTTTAATTGTGTGTACGTGCATGCTGGAGATCAAACCCAGGGCCTCATACAGGGAAGGAAAGTGCTTTATCACTTAGCCACATCTTCAGCCCTATATATTTATTTTAATTGGTTAATAATGAAGTAAGGAAGGTCTGCTAGCAATACATTCTCTGCTCTTGTTTATCTAGGAAATTATAAATTTTGCTCTCATTCTAGAAATATATAATTTTGATAGTTATAAGATTCTTGGGTACTAGTGTTGTGTTTTGTTTATGGGGGGACTGTTTTTTGCCTTTTAAGCACTCTGGATAAATCTTCCACATGGTCCTTTGGCCTCCACTGTTTCTAGTATTGTAAGCTAGATCCCTTATTTTAGATATTGTTGTAATAATTGAATAGAAATTTCTCACTAGCATCATTTGGTTCTTTCATAAAAAATATGAGCTTATGCTATGTCATGGTGAAGCCATCTGCCATCAACTGGTTGCTCTCCTGTTAACAGTAGAACTGTTACGGCAGCACTGTCCATCTTACTTGTTCTTTGCATGTATTTTTATGACTGTGGCTTAAAGTAGATTTTTGTAAAATAAGGGGTACATTTTGTAGAATAAGCTGTTTTTCTAGACAGCTCAGGACTACTTAATGTATATGACTAAACAGTGAAATCTGGTTCCCAAATTGCACTGTTCCAAAACCTAGTAGAATGAACTGAAAATAAATACACGAATAAAACTTGCAGAGTGCATGCAACTGAAACGGTAATCTTTGAAAAGTAGTAGCCTCTTGTTTGTTTTTAGAAATAGCCACTTTCACCATGATTTTTTAAAAATTTTTTAGCATAAATCTGGGACTATGTGTAAGGTTGGCATTTTTATTGCCTAATTCTTTAACACTCTGAAAGAATAAAACTGATGTTATTATAGAAAATTTACATATTAGAGACAAAAAATTTGTTTCTCTTATAAATTATTGGAAAGTAGATATTAGTAGGTATTAGCTATATGACTACAATTGAATTAATGTTAATTAAATGTGACTTTAATCTTTGATTTACATTAGCTATATAAATTTGTACTCAGATTCTTTCTACATGCTACTATGTTTTCATTAGTACTTTTAAGTCTTGGCATTAAGTTGGTATTAAATTAGTATTTTTTGGTAATTGAGTTTAAAATGTATGATTTTGTTAAGATGCTGAATTAAAATATGTAAGGATTTTAAAAGACTGAATTTAAAATTGAATCTATTTAAATTGATTGTGTCTAATTGTTATAGTCATCATCTTTTACAAGGGAAAAACTGTTCTCAACTTTTTCTTATTTGTGACCTGGAGAATGGATCTGATTATATAATTCCTTACATTAAAAGGGGTCAATTGAGGGACATAATTATGTATATGGAGCTAGGAGGTATGCAGTTTTAAATATTATAGTCTCCTAAACATAATGTATACAAAACTCCCCTTTATCTAATTTGCAGAGTTTATTATATTGAAACATGGTTGTTAATCAAATGCAAGTTTAGGTAAAGAGAATCATAAAACTTGTATTTAAGATTTAACATAATCTCTTTTGATTTTAGGTAGCTCTCGATGTACCTAGTAGATCTCCGGATGCTGTACTTAGAGATACCACCTCACTTAATCAGGTAAGGTTATTTTTGAAAAGTGATAAATCCACCTGACTGATGACAATTTTTTGTTTATAACTCTGACACCCTGTACTTCTCTGCATCCAGAAGTGTTGCCTATGTCTTCAACATAATAAAGGTATGTTTTCTGTGGTTGGAATTCATTTTTTTATAAATTTTAGTTGTTGATTTTTTTTCTCTACTAGATTAAAAAAAAAGTTTTTTCATTAGTCAACTCAAATACCATTGTGCTTTGTGGCAATGCAGTACTTGCCTGAAAGAGACTGGTTACCTTAATAGTGAAAAATTTCATGAAAACCTTAGAGGGCAGGATAATTGAGTTAAGAAAGGCAGGTATTAGTCAATCTTACCTTTTTGGGAAAGAAATCTGTGCCACATTGCTTGGAAGCATATGATTTCATGCTAACTTTAAGTGACAGGGAAACAACAAAGCTTTGTGTGGTAGATGATTTAATTTTTTATATTTGGCATAACCAATTTGTTTTCTGATTGGGGAGGTAAAGTACCCTATCAGTTCACAAATTCTGGAGGCCTGATAAGATTTATTTTAGAAACAGAAGTTAACCATAAAGATGAGAAAAGCAAGTTTTCTTTTTGAGACCTCAAGATTCTTTTTTAATGTGATCACAAGAATAACAGTGTAGTTGTTGAACAAAATTCTTAAACCTCTAGAGTTATACTGTGTGTTAGTGTGTAATAGCAGCAAATTATTTGTAATATTCATTTATTTTTTGTTGGTTTTGATGTGTTGATTTGAAAACTTTTGCAGGATTTGTTTCCTGATATTTTCAAAAAGAACTAAGATTGGTATATCTGAATTATGTTTTTTTCTGCACTAAATAAAAGAAAGAAAACTACTTTATCCTTAGATTGTTTTTCTCCCCCTTTAAGTGTTTTTCATCTTTTACCGTAAGAATTCAGGTAATACATAAAGTTTAACAGAGAAATTAATTTGTTAGGGTATTATAAAACAAAAATGGTTCATGGTTTGATGGTTCAGAAAACCCAACACATGCTTTGTTATTATTCTTGGGTTATACTGAAATAAAAATGTTATCTTCTGTAGATAAAAGTTGGATAATTTCTTAGGTTTGAATTTCTAAACAGTTACTAGAGGGTTTTCTATCATTTTCTCTTTTTCAGATGATGAACTTTTTATTAGATTTTAGCAAGATTTAATATTTTGCTGTCTGATAAAGGATAGTTTCTAAGTTTCTTATTTTTTTGTATAAATAATGAGCACTCATTTGACAGTGCTTCTGAACCATTTTGTGTCATATAAATTTTCATAAATCTGTTTGCAACAAACTTTGCATAAATTTCAGAGAATTTGTGGACCATCTGAAACTGTATCTGTTCTGTAGGAAACACAAATCAAGTAGAAGAAACGTCACTTATTGTTATAGAGTGGAAAGGACATTTGGATACTCCAGAAGTAGATGTCAGTAGTAGCTAAGGCAGCTGTCTCAAGCAATGAATGGTTAAATTCGATACTTTGATTTGTAGAGAAAGTGTTACATTCAGAGAAGGGATACTCATTAGGGAGTGATATACACAAGGGTTTAGTAGTAACCATGAGACCTTGCTGAACTAGGATGTTGTGTGGATATTCTGAGATGTAGGCCTCACAGTTTGTCAAAAAAGGGTTTGAAAAGTAATGATAGAGTGTGGGAGAGGAGGAAAACATGATGTGTGTTTAAGGACTAAATTGGAGCATTTATTGGAGGATAGTGGAAGATGATTGTGGATAGGCAAATCTTTGAGGAGGAGGAAACAAAAAAAAAATATGCCATTACAGCAAACTTTGTGTTAAGTATTTTTTAATCAAATAACGTTTTAGTTGTTTCTTAGTAAAGAACTGACATCCATATTACGTCTGGAATATTCTATTTATAATGCCTTAAATAGAGATTCTGCAAACTGATATGGTAATACAGGTGAATTTATAGATTTTTATAATAAACAAAATTTAACTATAGTAGTCGAGAAAGACCAAACAATAAAGAGATAAGACTTTGCATTTGAGATTTAGAAAAAATATAATTTTCCCAGATACAAACCTGATACTATTTATTATACCTAATACTTGAGTTATCATTATTAAATGAAGTTAGTTTTTGGAACTACCCATTCTCAGTATTTAAAAGAAAAGAACTATTGTACATCTTCTGGTCTTAAAACCTCAAAGAGATGAATTTACTGCCATGTTCAGCTCCAGAAGACTCCTTTAAACTTTTAGGCTCTATGGCACCATCACCTTCCTGTCACAACATGTTCGTCCACTTGAATGATCCTGGGAAGGTGAAAATTTACAAATTAATCATTGAGAAGCAGAAATAAATCATTGAGAAGTCCTAAAATAAAGCAGAACTAAATTACTATATGTGTTATAGCTACTACCTGCTTTTTTTTTTTAACAATGATTTATTATTTCCCAGGACTCTTTGGGTTGACTGAGTGATCCTTGTGCTACAAATAGTAGTTTAGAGATGGCAAGGCTGAAAGCCTCCAAAATGGCTTCTTTTATAAGTCTAGGGTCTGTGCTTCTAGCTTTTGGCTGGGATGCCTTGAATTTTCTCCACTTAGCTTTCTTTATGTAGTGTCTCATCTTTTAGGGCCTTTCTATATGGTCTTCAAGGGACCACTGTTTCATCCCTGGAGTTCTTTTCCTTGTAGTTCCTCCTCGTTAGTATACACAAAATCTAGCTCCCCAGCATTCTGATCTATATTTCTTTAATTCAGTGACAGCATTTTGCGATTTGGGTTTCTTTCTTGTGTTGTAATCTGGGAAGTACTATGAGGAGAAATCTGTGGTGATTGTAGAACACCTATGTGTATGTGTATGTATATACATGTATATATTTGCTCTACAATATATGTACGTGTGTGTGTGTGTATATTTTGGCCAAGAATCATAGTACTGCCTCATTTATTGCCCCCTTTTTAAAGAAAATAATTTTCTAGTTGTTTATAATGAAAGACTTAAGTCTATTCCAGGTACTCATCATAACAGTGAAAATCAGAAATCCTATATATATTTCTTCCTGTCCCGAATGCTTCATTTTCTTATTTAATCTATTAGTTTTTCTATTGGTGTTCTTTGCCTTCCACTTGTTTTTTGTATAAGAAAGAACTTATTTTTACTTTTTCTCCTCCCTTTTTATTATCCCCATTTTTAAGAATGCATTTTTACTTTTTCAGTGCATTTAAAATTTGTATATTGTTTGCATCATTTTCTATCTTTGTCTTCATCTTAATTTATGGTTCAATATGATAGTCATTTGTCTATGCTGCTAAGTTATTTTTGGGTTGGATGAAGCTCCTCCTGTAGGAGGTTCTTTAATGACACTTGGCTGGATATGAAATCTCATTTCTTAAGCATTCTGCTCCATTTTTGCCTTGCTGTGAATATTGTTTTTGAGAAGTCTGATGCCAGTCTGCAAGTTAGAAGATATTTGGTTTTTTGAGGTCCTCAACATTTTCTTTATCTTTAAAGTTTGAAGGTTTCATTGCTCACTGAATATGTATATTAAGATCTTTTAAAGGATTGTAATTTTAAATATTAGCTTTCTTTCAGTTTTTTCTTTCTTCAGCTACTCCAGGTATATGTTAGATCTTTTTCTTTCAGTTATTTTCTCTTTTCCTTTTAATTCCTTCTTGTTCTCCTTTTCATTCTCATGGTTCTATCACTCCCTTTCTTCCACCCTTATCACATTTTTATTTGAATATCTTCTCCTTTGGGTACCTTGTAATTTAGTATTCATTTTAAATATGATTTTTTTCTTCTATTTTTTGTAATTATATAAGGAGGACATATTTATTATGAATTATTGATTTTATAATTACTGCTGCTGGTATTCACATTATTACACAATGAAAATCTTTTAATATATAGTGCTCTTTACCCTGAGCTGGTGAATAGATAGAAAAATAAAAATAATAAATTGCATTACACTATTTTTTTGTTTTCTTGATTTCCATTTTTTATTCTAATTTGTTATATATAAGAGTAGAATGCATTACAATTCATATTACACATAAAGCACAGTTTTTCATATCTCTGGTTGTATATGTATACTTTGAAAAATGATGTCCATCTTATTCCACCATCATTTCTAACCTCATGCCCCCTCCTTTACCCTCCCACCCCTCTGTCCTATCTAGAGTTCCTCTATTTCTCCCATGCTCCCCCCTCCCCACCCCACTATGAATCAGCCTCCTTATATCAGAGAAAACATTTGGCTTTTTTGGGGGGCGGGGTGGTTGGCTAATTTTGCTTAGCATTATCTTCTCCAACTCCATCCATTTACCTGCAAATGCCATGATTTTATTTTCTTTTATTGCTGAGTAATATTCCATTGTATATGTATCTCACATTTTTTTATCCGTTCATCTACTGAAGGGTATCTAGGTTGGCTTCATAATTTAGCTATTGTGAGTTGTGCTGCTATAAACATTGATGTGGCTATGTCCCTGTGGAATGCTGTTTTTAAGTCCTTTGGGTATAGACGGAAGAGAAGGACAGCAGAGTCAAATGGTGGTTCCATTCCCAGTTTTCCAAAGAATCTCCATACTGCTTTCCATATTGGCAGCACCAAGTTGCAGTCCCACCAGCAGTGTATAAGTGTGCCTTTTTCCCCACATCCTTGCCAATACTTATTGTTGTTTGTATTCTTAATAGCTGCCACTCTGATTGGAGAGAGATGAAATATTAGAGTAGTTTTGATTTGCATTTCTCTAATTGCTAGAGATGTTGAACATTTTTTCATATATTTGTTAATCTCATCTTCTGAGAAGTGTCTGTTCAGGTTCTTGGCCCATTTATTGATTGGGTTATTTGTCTTTTGGTATTTAGCTTTTTGAATTCTTTATATACCCTAGAGATTAGTCCTATGATGTGTTAGGGGTAAAAATTTGCTATGAAGATGTAGGCTCTTTATTCACTTCACAGATAGTTTCTTTTGCTGAGAAGAAACTTTTTAGTTTGAATCCATCCC